ATTATAAGAATAATATATTAAAGGAGAAATCATATTTATTTAATTAGTATTAGTCATAAATTAATTAGTATATAAGCACCCTTATGTACACTTGTGTACGCCGGGCGTACTCACGTCAGGGGAAAAGCCTAATATTTAGGGTTTGGGTAGTATATAAGCACCCTTATGAGCTCATAGCCCTCTACCATTTCAGCCTCCATAGTCTTGATTCGTTTTCCGTAAACCCTAACCTCTCCCTTGAGTGTGTGAGCTAAAAGTGTGTGTTTTGAGTAGTTGAAGAAGAAGAAGTTGCATCACGGTGTTGGAGAAGTGAGGCAAGCTTGAAGATATGAGATTATCCTGTCCTCTAGAAGCTCCAGGAGGTAAAAAGCTTTTGCCTTTATGTTTGTATGATGTATATCTTGCCTTGATAGCTTTATGACTCCCTTCTTGTCCCAAAAAGTCCCCATATTGTGCATGTTATGATTTGGACGTGTTAAGTTGTCCTTTCAGACCCTAGGAAGGGTTCTAAATGATGAAAATGAAGTCCCAATGGCTAGAAGTGCCTCATGCAAGTAGTAGAGAGGTCATAATGGATTAAGACCATGTATTAAGGGCTTTTTAAACGACCAAAGTCTTAAAGTTTGAGACTTTATGGTTCTAAGACACATTTGGTCGATGGATCTGGAATTTGGGCTTAAGTGCTTAAGTCATTAAGCACTTATTGAAGTTTGAATACAGCCCGCGTACGCCCCACGTAGAGAGCAGTACGCTCCGCGTACGCAGTCAAGTCCCCGTTTTCCAGTCAACGCAAGGCTCGAGTACCCCTAGCGTAACTCTGGGTACGTCCAACGTACGCCTTCTGTTGGGCTTTTGTGATTTGGGTTTCGGATTTGGGCCATCTTTGGGCCAGTTTGGCTTAGGCCCTTGTTGGACTTTCTGAATAAAAGTGTTTGGGGCAATTATGGAAATGGACCTTAGGATGAGGCCCAATTAAAGAGTTGGGCCTAATTTGGAAAAATTGAGTCAATTATGGGCCTTGTATATTTGGACCTTGGATCAAGGATTTGGAGTTGGGCCTTGGACCAACTTAGGGAAAGGGGTAAGATGGACTATTACCCTATGATTGGGCCCTTAGTCAAGATTGATATTCCAAGTGTTGATTAGTGTTCATTTATTGTGATAGTTTAGGATTTTCGGTGAGTCAGCAGTCGGAGGTTTTCAGTTCAGTTCAGCATTATGAGGTGAGTTTTCCTCACTGTACTAAAGGGTCGAAGGTACCAAGGCCGACCCGTTAGATTGTTATCCTGGTTATAGTATGCTTGTATGTAGTTATGATCTGTTTGATCGGTATCCTGGTAGATAAGATGTTGTTATGATGTTATGATTTGTTAGATTGGTATCCTGGTAGATAGGATGATGTTATGCTTAGTGATCTGTATGATCTGTGCTTGTCTGTTGATTGTTTATGTGTTATGAGTATGTCTACATATGTGTATGTATGGTTGGGTTGAGGCGGTCCTGCTTTGTGTTGAAGGCCAACAGACCCAGGGCGGTCCGGATAGTTTGTAAGCCCTGGGAGGCGGTCCAGACGTGCCAAAGGCTCGGGAGCGGTCTAGATAGGTTGTAGGCCCTGCGAGGCGGTCCATTCAGGCTGAAGGCTCAGTATGCGTGTTGTTATGTTATATGTTTGGGTGTTGGTACTTTGGGGGAACTCACTAAGCTTCGGGATTACAGTTTGGTTTATTGTTTCAGGTACTTCAGAGGATCGCAGGAAGGCGAAGGCGTGATCGTGCACCTCCTCACATTTTGTGTTATGGTTTCGGGATTACAGTTTGGTTTATTATTTGATTGTTTGTTAAATATTTTATTCTGTCAGAATATATTATCATATGTATTATGTTATTTATCAGGAAAATTAAATTCTAAAAGAATGAAGGATGTGAAATTAAATTCCAAAGCAAATCCCACATTTTCTTTTTTTCTTCACAACATCATTCGCCACAAGAAGTGGAACGAAAAATAAGGACGGAGATAGGATATTTGCATATAATCATTCTTGAATCCCCGGTTGAAGAATAACAGCATTCTAATATATTCTTATACATCCGAACTAAAATACAAATTCATACATAATCTTACAGGCTAATAGTCTTATACATTTTAATATAATTATACATATTCTAAAAGAATATCAACAAAAATGAATAAAACTCCTAAAAATAACAACATTCTTAAACTGTGAGTGTGATCAATCTTTAATTCATTCTTCAAAACATTCTTCCATCAATTCCTATCACAAATACAACAATAACTAAGAATAGTTAAAATCATGTTACTTGCAATTCCAATCACTTTATATATTCTGGTAGAATACATAGAATATGGTAGACTACATAGAATACATTCTGGCAGAATACATAGAATACATTCTGCTAGTTATAGCTTTAATTGTCACTATAAAGAATTAAAAGCATGTTACTTGCCACTTGCAATCATATTTCCAGATGATGAAACTTAACAAACCAACAATTTACAATTTAACAATCTTGAAATTTTTTGTACAATAGAAAAAATAGTAAAATTTAACAAACCATTATTACAACAATGAGATTCAATGAGAATGCTCTTGAAAGAATGCTCATCTCCTTCTTGGTTTGTTTACTCTTAATTTCTACCCACCATTTTTGTTTCAAGCAACCTTGCTACATAATGCATACCACATGGTTGGATTCTAACCACATCTTGGTAGAATATATTTGTTCTTGAACTCGATTCCAAGTCTATCTCTTGTATGTGGGTTTTAAATGTTTACTGATGTTGGCTGAAAAGGTAAGTAATTATCATTTAGATATGATCTATATTACATCGATTCAAACAGGGGCGGAGCTTCAACATATGATTTGGGGGGCCGAAAATATAATATGTATAAAAATCGGTAAGCAGGGGGGGCCACCGCTAAAATTTTATATTTTTTGGTCTAATATGTATAAAATGAAATTATAGGGGGGCTATTTGTAACAAAAAAAATCAGGGGGGGCCACAGCCCCCCTCGCCCTAATAAAGCTCTGCCCATGGATTCAAAGAGATGAGAGGTAGAATGTGACACCCCCGACTTGCTCCACCAATAAGAGTCATCAAACCCCAATAATAAAAAAGGATGAGAACCTCTTTAACTAAACGTTCCATTTCTACTATTCTTGGATGGTGACCGTAGATGGAGAGGAGAGGGGGTAGGGGTGGAGACCACATTTAATATTTATTTAATGAAAATAACAAAAAACATGTAAAGAAAAAAGATAAAGGCGACCATTATACTTGTATTTTTCTATTTTCTGTTATATTAACATATTTATTAACTTTATGGACTATTTCTATAAGAGTTTAAAGAAAGCTCTAAACCGCTAACAACCACATCGATCAACCATTTCTACATCACCCTTGTTATTTGTCTCTCCCCTTCCTATTAACTCCAACGATGGCCTCCCCTTATATCACCTCTGCTGTCGAAACCTACAACTTTGGTCACCGGCTACACCACCGATCTTAAGGTATCACATATTGGTACGACACGATAATATAAGTGGTTATATATGTTGAAGTCCCCTTTCTCTCCATAAAGGATCTTTTGGAGAGATAATCATGAGCTCCACATATATTTACATGGTATCAGAGTCGGCGTCTCGCACTCCCGTGGCTCAGCACATCTATGTCTATTCTCATCGAGCCTCCGACTTTAAGGGGGAATGTTAGTGTATCCTACATCGGTACGACACGGTAATATAAGTGGTTATATATGTTGGAGTCCCCCTTCTCTCCATAATGACTCTTTTGGAGAGATAATCATGGGTTCCACAGATATTTACAACCGAAGGAAATGGAACCCACCACGACACTATATCTTTGTCACCGTTAGCAACTCTAAGGAAGACCACCCATCATCGTTGAACCTAGTTCCAACATACCTATCTCCGTCGACACAACATCATCCCACTATCATCTTTACCATCCTTATCTCCTATGTATTCATCTCGGTCATCATTCATTTCTCCTCGAACTGCCTATAACTCACCTTCAACCCTTATCGATATGTGGCTTTAATTTAAGATAGTGGAAAATCCTTCTCATAAATTCATTTGAAAATTATGCAATGTATTACATCGTTGATGTACGAGTTCGGGACTCAGTTGGTTCCATAGGGATTATAATAGAGGAAATACGTGTTTCTAATTGATGGTATACGTGGTCCGAACATGTAGCGCATATTGTAGGGACGATGTTGGTAGTAAATTTGGTAGAACCCAACAACGAGTTCAAGTGTAGGGATTGGCATAGGCCGACGTAGGTTCGGTTATTGGCAGGTAGGACCCATTTTTTAATAATTAAAATAAGTCTAAAAAGTCAATAAGAAAAAGACAAAATATCAACAATCTCATCATTTTACATGTATTTATCCAAGGGTCGTTGACGGTAACCTAGTACCAACCTTGATGGATTTCACAACCATGATAACCACTCATATACATTTTCAAATTTTGGACCAAAACTAGATATGAGTGTCAACTATAGGGACCAAAACTTTAATTTACTCTTTGAAAAATAAAGGTTGCACCGGACCCATTTCGATAACTTTGAAGCTAAGGAAAACCGGATAGTTGTAAAGCGAACCGGAAAGAACCCAAATGGACATGGGTTCAACTTTCATGGGGCGTTGGCAATCAAAGAGAATAATACTCCATACACAAAAGCTCGCACTTAATCAAATCAACCAATAACTATCATGTTCTTCGGTAAGTTTCAGATCCTTCTCTCTCTTTTCCTTTTCAATTTGCAAATTGAAGCTACAAAATCTCGCAATTTTAAACTAATTCTCCGATTACAGTTTCAAATTTCCCTTTTCATGTTTTGTGGTGATTTTTTCAGGTCACTGTGTTCACTCCTTTTTCGATTCGGCTTTCACGCGATCCATTTTCATTATTTGACGTACTGTTTCGTTGATCTTTAGATGCAAATTTTCAGATCAGTTTCCAGTTGCGTTTGCAAAATTATCGAATTAATGGGGTCAGTGTTCCTCTCTCTCCCTCTCGTCTTGTTCGATTAAACCTGTCGATTGCAAAACTGCGCTATTAGTCTATCAAATACTATGTCTGTTCTAAGAGTAACTGAAATAACATTGCCTATTTAGAAACTCCCTGCTTACATGTACGAAACCTAAACCTTTTGATTTCTTTGCAAATTGTAGTACCAAATGAAATAACATTTATATGCATGAATCCAAAAGGAACTTTGATTCTGATTCTCATGATGTTGCAATTATATTTAACATTTGAGAACACAAACATATTGGAGAAAGGAACAACCTGTAAAAATGGGGGTTTATTGATATTCTTGTGAATTCTTATCATGATAGTCTCTTACGTTCTTTACCTTGTTGGTTTATACATGTAAGATGCTAATTTTTGTTCAATTTTTTTAATGTTTTTGTTAGTATTAAATTTGATTTATGCTAACCATTTTTATGGTTGTAAACCTTCTTTGCAACAGAACAGACGGTGTCTTGGATGTTGTACTAAGCCGTCATTTGTGACTACAGATAATAATCCAACAGGAAAACCTCAAGACACAAATAATAATAATAATAATAATAATAATAATAATAATATTAATAATAACAATAATAAGAATAAGAAACCTAGTATTCTAGAAGATTTCTATAGTAGCAGTACATATGATATGGATAGCAGTCTACATTACTCACAAATAACTGCCTCATCAACTACCAACCTCCCACTGGATCATAATACCCAATCCACTTCTTCCATCAATCCTTCAGAATTCATAAACCATGGTATTTTTATTTATTTATTATTATTTCATTATTTTCATATTATAATCTGTAAAAAAAATCTGACATTTTTATAAACTTGTTATGGTTTTTCAGGTTTTCTTCTTTGGAACCAGACAAGACAACAATGGATTGGAGAAAAGGCAGTTGAAAAGAATAAGAAAGCTCGTGAACCTGTTATAAGCTGGGCGATTAGGTAATTTGTTAAGTTCTAAGGGCAATTTGGTAATTTGGCAAATACATGATCTGACTGTATTTTTTGTTGTTTAGATGGAATGCTACTTATGATAATTTGCTTGGGACAAATAAGCCTTTTGCAAGGCCCATTCCTCTACCTGTAAGTCTTAATTTTTTGAAGATCAACATTCAGAGTGAATTATATTTTTTGTTTCTTTTTTCAATTTTGGTCCCAAAAAGTTTTCTCTTGTAACATTTTTGGTCCTTGCTTTCGTAAAAGAACTATTCTGGTCACTAAATAGAGCTGATTTTTGCAGTTTTGGTTCCAAAAATATTGTCATTTTACTTTTACAGGGATCAAAATGTTAGAAAAACCTTAAGTAAGGACCAAATTTGCAAGAGAAAACTTTTTGGATCCAAAATTGAAAAAATCTACTAAACTTAGGGTTCAAAATATTAGAAAAAAACTCATGTAAGGATCAAAATTGCAAGAGAAAACTTTTTGGGTCCAAAATTGAAGAAATCAACTAAACTTAGGGATCAAAACGTTAGAAAAACCTCAGGTAAGGACCAAAATTGTAAGAGAAAACTTTTGTGGTCTAAAATTGAAAGAAAAACTAAACTTAGGGATCAAAACGTTGAAAAACCTTAGGTAAGGACCAAAATTGTAAGAGAAAACTTTTTTGGTCCAAAATTGAAAATACAACTAAACTTAGGAATCAAAATGTTATAAAAACCTCAAGTAAGGACCAAAATTGAAAAAATCAGCTATACTCAGGGACCAAAAATGTAATTTACTCCATTCTTATAAATTTTGTTTCAGGAAATGGTAAATTTTCTTGTGGATATATGGGAACAAGAAGGATTGTACGACTGAAAAAGATAAGATTTGTGGTGCGATTGTTATGTTGAATTTAAAACAGTCAAAACTTGAATGTCTTCTGTTTTTTATGTTTTTAATGTGAGCATAAATATGTTCGATTGTCTATAATTTTACCTAGAACAAATCCTATGATGATTTTTGTAATGTCGATTGAATGAATTTGGTTTGAAAAATGAAAAATCTACTTTCATTTCATCTATTAATCCATTGTACTTTCATTTCTTTCTATCCTAGCATTGTACTTTTAGATTTTTTTTCTTATAAACACTTATTTTGAAAGATTGAATTTTGGAAAATACAATGTTGTAATAGATCTAAATAATGGCATGCTACAAGAACATATCATAATGTATAATATATTTGTTGGATTGCTATAAAAGTATAAAAGTACATCATCTTAACATTGATTTGAAAGTCTAATGGGTTGTTTAATAGTTGTTGATGAATTAGATTTGAGTCAGACCCAAAAACAGTTCAGACGCTATAAATACCGAATCAGGAGTTTCTAATTATAATATCAAACAATCCGAATCTGATTGAGTCAGATTTAATTTTTTCTAGATCAAGTAAAAGAAATATGGTACGGCTTCTAATTTTATTAACAAATAAAAAAAATGGTTTAAAGCAATAATGGTTAGGGAAAAGGGATAACACCGCTAACTCATTATTGGGCTGGGAAAGATCTAAACAGCTTCGGGATTATAGATTGTAAGTACATAAAAAAAAATGTATGTGTGTGCCACTTGGTTGATTTTATAAGAATTAAATATTAGTTATACAACCAAAAAAATTAATAAAAGAATAGTTGCAACTTGGAAGACCATGAGTTGGAATGTGTTGGATTCTCAAATAGACCATGAGAGCATGTTCCAATAAAGAAAAGATTGATGTGTTGGATACTTGCATTCGTTCATAACCATA